ACACACACACACACACACACACACACACACACACACACACACACTCACGCACACGTACACAAATAGCCATCACCACCTTTCTTACAAGGTGTTTTTTTTGACTCCTTTTTCCTACATTTCATATCAGAATAGTTCATGAAATATTCGTAGGTCTTTTACAATATTTTATTTCTCAAATACTTTTATTTATATCTACTTTTAGCACTAAATATAGGGTTCAGCAATGAAGTTTATTCAGGAATCCAGAAAGATATAGGTCTATGAATAATACTTCAGTACATTTGGGCAGGCCACCAGAAGATGTTGGGGTTTTTGTCATGCAAAGCTATATAATAGGCTATCTGCAATCTGTCCATTGGGAATCAAAACCTAGATTTTTCAGCATTATAAGCCTGTCAACTTAACACTGACCCTACAGGATGCACCTTCAGAAGAAAAGGAAGACAAATGAATGAAAAAGAAGCATTCTAATAAAAATATGGCAGCAAAGTTGATTAAAACATGGAGTGATAGTGAGTTCAGACAATCTTTGACCAATTTATGCTTATTTCTCAGGGTTTCTTGAATACATAAATTGTATTTTCACACAAATTAAACAACAACTAGTACAGCCTCAATGATTTAGGCTAACAGAGATAGTATTGGATTTCAGAATTAACACAAATATTAAGTCCTGATTGTATTCTTTTAATAAACTAATGGAAATAAAATTTGCTGCATATCCATCACTCAAAGTGCCTAGTGGCATCCCCCCCCATAGTTTTATGAAAGAGAAGAGTATATTTTAGATACCTCTACCTATACTTACTATTGAGTCCTAATATTTTCATGCCACTCATATTTTTAAGTGTTCTTTACAAAATAAGGTCAAATGTTATATTACTCTTACTTTTTTTTTTTTGAGTAGATTACACCTTATAAAGCCACTGCTGACAATACAACAGTATTAAATATTTAATTTTGTATAATCAGAATGAAATGCTTGGAGGATTACATCACAATCTTAAAATGCAATTTCATACAAACTAGGAAATCACACAAAAAACATTACTTACTGCACCGGGTACTAAGAAACTTGAATGGATCTCATAAGCCCATTTCTTCATTTCTTTTACTGTTCCTTCTTGATAAATATTAGTTATCAAGTAGAAAAACTATAAAAAAAAAGTAATTATGAACTACAAATAATTCCACTTTGTACAAAATGACTAATTTTCAAAAACTGTTATAGGCAATGAATAAGTAGATTCTAATTCTAAGTCAAGTGAACACTGTGCTTAGCAGCTGGCAACTACTACAGAATAAAAACCATGTACACAATGAAAATTATCTCACAATTTTATCACCTAGATGGTGAAATGAAAAAAAAATACTAGCTCAGAACATTAACATGCAGCAAACAAATTAACCTGATTTGCAATCATGAAATAATGATGTCATGATCTAGCAGTTGTCAGATTACTTTCTACTGTCTTTCGAATTGTATGACGTTTTAAATGAATTTATTTATATGTTAAATACACAATATTAAGAAAAAAGGACATAAATCAGAATTTATTTAAAAATCAACAGCCAAATTGTACATAAAATGGAAGGACAACAAGGGACCTGTTGGTCCATCTAGGCAATCCCATCCACTAAACTAAAATTACAAAAAAAAATCTATTGCCAGATCTTATCATTCCTATATTTATCAAGCCTTTCCTTAAACTCCCTTAAATAAACTGCATCTTCGACATCTGAATGCAACCCATTCCAAAGTCCTGTTACCCTATTAGAAAAACAAAACTGTTAACCTAAGCTGACTCCTACCTTGCCAAATATTTTTAACCAATATGTGCAGGATCAGTCCAATGGACTGGAAAAGGAATTTAATGTTTACAAACACAAAATGTGGCAAGCTTTTATTAATATGTTTTAGTCCATTACATATAAAAATCAGATGTTTTACAAAGATATTTGTACTCAAGATATGTCTGGAAGCTGACAACATCAGTCTCACTCAGACTCTGACAAATTGGAGTGCAAGATTATACTCACGCGAAGAAAATTGTACTTTGGTAAATCTTACAATTTAAGTTGTATTTGCATAGACTTAAAACTTCCAAAATGTATATCTATAGTTTTTTTTTCAATATAGTATCTGGTATTCAAGAGGTGTCACTAAACCAGCAATGTATGGTAAAATCAGTAGTTGATAACTCTTGACATCAAATTCACAATACATAAAATCCATAAAGAGCGTGGCGTAGGCACCTTTGCATGTAGGGTTAATCTGGTTGTTAGTTACAATTTGATTCTATGACGGATATTAAATACACATTCTTTTTGGACATGCTAAGTTTTCATATATCTGCTAATGCAGAATCTTGAAAAATCAAGATTTACAATTTTACAAACACAATGGGACTGACCACATGCAGCCAATGGGGTAAATCCAATTTCTTGAAGGAAACAGTTCATGGTTTGATATCAAATGTAACATGTATACTGACTTTTGTAACTGAAAACAAGATATAACTGTATAAACTGCATAAACATCACATATACTATAAACTAAAGAGTGAAAATAATTACATAGTCTCATAACATAGGTAAATTGTAGTACTTACTAGACTTGCAGGCTCACTGTTGCTAATGAGATAATACATGAACACAGCTAAATGGGCCTGATGCCTCAACAGCTTCCACATTGCATTAAATGGACCATGGTTTTCCAGAAGACCCTGTATACCAAAAACACTGTTATTAGATATTACTGATATTTTCAACTATACTAATCCTAAGCAAAATGCTCCGAGATAGATGATCAGTATTCTTTAAGTTTAATCCCAACACAACTGGTAAGCACCTTTGAGGTGTCAAATCTACACCTGCATCTCAAATTTCTTATTTAAGTCAAAATTATTTCAGCAACTCTTAATTCAAAAAATATTTTAGAACTTATATTGTCATCTTGTATAAACTTTCACTTCTTGCCTATAAACATTACTTATTTTTTTATAATTTATTCTGCCCATCCTAAAGTGTTACTTTATCTCAGGTTGCTAAGAAACTATCATCCCTTGAAAACATTATGATTCATGTCTTGTTACTCACAGGACTTTCTGTTAGTGGTCTAAGTGCTACAGTCCTTCATTGTTACACATTTATGATGTTACATCAACTGGTCTGAGCAATTACAAATGAAATTCAGCCATGAAAAAAGCTTGTATTTTGTACTGGCAAAGCTACCCTATCCCTAATTTTAAACTTCTGACAAGAGAAAAGGTAGCTGGTCAGTAGCATCTTACTACCTTGCTAAGAAATCAACTGTCTCTCTCAAAATGCATCTACAGCTTAAGGTGATTGGGGGAGGTAGTTTGTAGTATTATACTTATTCAGATCAAGCTAACCAAGTCAGAAATCCATGTCTCTACAGCAAGGTCAACCTATAATCCCTTGAATAAGGCTACAACCAACATTTAACAAGCAATTACAGTAGTTTGCTAAGTGAGTAGGATCCATGCCAAATCTGGAAAAGCCTAAGTAAATTACAGGGATGAGTAAGTCACTATCTACTAAGCATTATCCTGCAGAAGGAAAATTTGAATGCTGCAACACAGTGCCAAATTTGAGCAGCCTTGGGTGATGGTCATCAGTCATTTGACCAGAAATGGTCACCTTAGTAGAATCAATAGATTTTCTGTTGTTTTTTTTTCTTATTATTTAGTTTTTAAATACAAGTGTGTCCTCAGTAAAATCACATTAGAACAACTGATAATCAAAAACCAGCTTTCAGCAAAAAATTATAACACAAAAGTAACTATCTTCTCAAGTATTTTTTTCAGGATTGCTCTACACCATATATTCAACATAAAATAAGCTGTAATCTCACAGATTTGCAGGAAATGCACAAAAATCCCAGATTTCACTGGATGAGAGCAGTCTTACCATTAGCAAACACTCTCTGGTTAACTCTCTTGCTACAAGCTTGAACAAATAGGCTGAGTTCAAGACCTCAAACTGACCTTTACAGTTTACCTACTATAACTTCTTATTTTTTTTTTTTTTTTTTTATCTTCATGAAATTTTGCAAACTTTCAGTAATCATTAAGAGTCATTTGTAGACAAAAATCATAATTTTTAATGAAGTATTTTCAATAAAAATTCTCCATGAATACATAGGGTTAAAGTATTGACTGCTCTGAGTGCATAGTGATTTTCATGTTAAGGTTAAAAATACTATTCTTCCTTTATAAATCTCAAATTTCATTTGTGTAATCTCCAAAACCTTCTAAATAAATTTAAAACGTTTTTCTGTAAAACATTATGTTTTATCTGTTATTTTCTCTATCCTAACTCTATACAAAGTTGGACAATTGGAGCAAACTCGTAACCACCAAAAAAAATTTAAAATATATATTACCTTTTTTCTTTCTAGAATGGCTTCAAATTGTAACAGAAAATTACATTTGTTTATCCTAAATAGCTTTAAACTTGTAACAGTATACATCTATTTAAACTTAAATTTTATTGTCCATTGAACTGTGTTTAACTAATATTTTCACCACACAAATTGTAAATCACTTGACGTGTATCTCACATTACCCTATCAAATTACATGAACTACTCAAGTTGTTTGGAAGTGTACTTCATGAAAAATTATTATTATTATTCATTTCACCTACCCTACCCTAATCTTATCTAACCTAAAAAGTATCTATTTTTACACTTTAGTTATTTTTATAATAATAACAATAAAGAATACACATGAAAAACAAGAAATAAAGTACTTATGAGTCATTTTTTCTTTTGCTGTTGACGAAACTCAACTCTACTTTTTTTATATTAATGGTAGTACTGCATTAAATTTTATTTAATAAAATAATACACCAACAAACACAGAATAATAACATGCAAAAAGCAGGTAATGTATCTTAACTATCACAATTTTCTGGCTTTCTAACTATGCAACAAGCTAAACTCATCAATGTGTTTCCTGTGGGAATAAAATTTGAGCTGGAAGGAAAATTGACAATTCTCTGTACAAAAAACAACATAATATAATACATCATTTGATAGATTAAAAACCTTGGCTTTCAATTGGTTGTAAATAATATGGTATTAAATGTCACAGAGATCTATTGGCAATTTGTGAACAATAATGTGACAGGTGGGTGTGGCAAGAGGGGTTTGATTTTCTAGTTTATGGCTCTGTAACCAAACAAGACTGAGGGCTATAAAAGTTATACTTTGCATGAGCAATGATAACATTATAACAATTATTTTACATTAAATTTCATACTTCTCGGAGAGGTGGTAAATAAATTAAAGAGGGAATACCTAGAAAGAAAATGTTACAATTCTCGTAATAAAGTAAATTGAGGATTTTTTTTTAATATTGCATTAAACAATTAAGAACTAAAAACTTGTATAATATTAAAATTTGGATTATTAGTTATGTTTTTATGCCAAGTTTATTTCTATACCATGATAATAAAGTACTTTAATTAAATTTTGAATGTAACTCACTGAAAACTCACGACATGCACAGAAAAAAAAATGCCTGTAGCAAAAGTGTTAAGTCAGAGATTACTTGTTAAATACAGCTGGATAGAGCAGATTTTAAACTATTTGCCTTAATGTAAATAAAGTATAGTTTCGGCAGTAATTTATACATTAGAGATATATTTTCTACCTGGAGCTCCTATAGGAATCTAATGGGAAGTTTAAAAGACTTAGGAACAAACCATGTCTATTCTCCATGACAGGCAATTGTAAAATGTTCCAAAGACTTTAAATATAAATTGACCTCACCCAAGCATATTGTTAGCAAATATCATGATGCCTAGTTTGACCAATGTAAAGATGACACCAGTTTCCAAAGCAAGGCCCCTCAGAATATTTATATTCTAAGATGCATTTTTTTTTCAAAACATTGTATCAACAAAATTTTGAAAATATCAACTTACAAAATGAAAGAAACCCTTATTCTAATTATGTGAATTTTTTAAATCCAAGGCTAGACATTGTTTATTAAAGTTCTTATAAAGTTTCCTGCTCTTTGATTAAGCACTTCAACTGCAAGAAAGGAATTTCTGGGGTAACCCTCCAGTCTGAAAAGGGTTAAGTCATGTAACCTTAAACTAAACTGAAGAGAGACTTCTGAATCATCATACACACGCAGTTGTTTACTACCCGATCGGAACAGCATTAGATGGGATAATGCTAAAAGCAAATTCATTCTACCTTAGAGAGAAAGAAATTGACTTTAAAATAAAGATTGAATTGTAATTGAAAAAAAAAAAAAAAAAAAA